AACAGTAACAGTAATAGTAACAGTAATAGCAACAGTAATAGTAACAGTAATAGTAACAGTAACAGTAATAGTAACAGTAATAGTAACAGTAACAGTAATAGTAACAGTAATAGTAGCAGTAACTGTAATAGTAATAGTAACAGTAATAGTAACAGTAATAGTAACAGTAATAGTAACAGTAACAGTAACAGTAATAATAACAGTAACTGTAATAGTAATAGCAACAGTAATAGTAACAGTAATAGTAACAGTAACAGTAATAGTAACAGTAATAGTAACAGTAACTGTAATAGTAATAGCAACAGTAATAGGAACAGTAATAGTAACAGTAACAGTAATAATAACAGTAACTGTAATAGTAATAGCAACAGTAATAGTAACAGTAATAGTAACAGTAACAGTAATAGTAACAGTAATAGTAACAGTAACTGTAATAGTAATAGCAACAGTAATAGGAACAGTAATAGTAACAGTAACAGTAATAATCACAGTTCTGCGCGTGAGGAGACTGGCTGACAGGGGAAGCTGGGCTCGCCCCCCTCCCCTCCGCCCCCCTTCCCTCCCTGGGCTCGTGCGCACCGACTCTCGTCTACATGCAAACATGGCGAAACTCTTTCCCGTTACTCCGCCACCCTTACCGTCCTCCGCCTCCTCATCGTTAACATCACCGTCTTCCCCMCCGCCGCCGCCGCACTCCCCGGTACCGTGATGACCCGGGAGGATGGAGAAGTTGTCGGCGAGCCTGTCGGAGATCGCTTGGAGCCCGTTGGCGCTGCCGCTGGACGCGGTGGTCAGCAAGTTTCGACTGCCCACCCTGGTCCGTCTGGCCCACGGTAAGGAGGAACCGAACGTTCAGTCCGTTAAAGTACCGGAGAGAGAACCGTTCAAACTTTGTGATGTTTGTTAACTGTTAGCTCGTGTCACTGCWGGAATCTGCGTCACTAAGTGACGTTAAAGTCATTTATCTGTTAGCACAAAGCTACAACACAGCTCCATGACTTTCTTTGACTTTCTGTCGCTGCAGCTTTATGAAAATTAATGTAGACATTTAAATGATGAATGGTTTTTAAATACGTCAAGATTCACAGGATAAAATGTAACATCCGGTTGCAACTTTCAAAATAAAGGCAGTATTTACCTGGTTTAGTCCATTAACCAGCGTCTGCCAGTGAAAAAACAGACCATTCTGTGCAATAATAATCAGATAAATCATTYTTGTCAATCAGGCAGAAAACAAAGATCAGACAGACACACACTGGTTGTTTCTGAAGGGAAACAAATACACGTTGGTTAACAGCTGGTCACAAACTTTAACTTGTTTGATTTAAGGACACATCAACCATGATATTATTATTATTATTATTGTTACTGACCGGTCTTCATTACACTGCAATAAGTGCTTTTAACTGATTATGCAAAGTTATGAAATTGCCCAGAAAACTGTTCATACTCTTATTTTGAAAACACTTTTAGCTTCATTTCCGATATATTTTTCGGAAATGTCTGTCTGCCTTTCTGCTGCCTAAAGCCTGGACGTCACTGCTTTATTTTAACTTACTGATTTACTTTAGGAGGTCTTTAAAGTAACATTTTAACCACATTTGTTGTTTATTTGTTGTGTGTTTTGTTGTCATCATATTTCCCCCGTCAAACTGCACATTTGGTGACTTTACTTTGGGAACTGGGAGTCATGGTTAAAGTTGTTCCAGTCCAGGAAGCCCAGAAAACCACAAAGTGTCTGTTGTGTTGCTGAAGTGCTGCTTAATTCTTTTCACATGTAAATGCTGAGATGTGACGGTGAGTGTGGTGAATACTAACGAGCAGCAGTGTGGAGGCAAACCTCCAACTTTTCCTGGTGGACTAAAGTGTGCACAGACCCAAATCTATGGAGAGCTATTAATGTCAAAAACACCTGACCAATCACGTGGCTTTGACAGGTAAACACACCTGTGTGTCTAGAACTGATGAAACAATCAGTAGTTCCTCTGGATGGTTCTTCTTTAGTGAAACGTCTCCTTTAAGAGACTTCTTCAGTCTGAGGAGTTTCAGGTGAACTCAGCCTTATAAGCTCCGCCTCCACCTGGACAAACAGGTTAGTCACATGCAAAAGAGGGCCATCGCCTAACAATAGGACATTAGTGCCTACGAAAGAGGTTTAGGTCCACTGGAAAAAAACTCAGACGTCAGAATTCAGACTTTCTGAAATTYAAGTCAGAATTTATTTAACAGATATAACAGATATGTTAGCTAAAATCTGGTGTGGTAGTAGCTGAGAGTCATTCCCAAAACATACTCTGAGTGCTAATACATCACACAACACCTGTGATGTTTCCTGACAGGAAACACTATTCTATTTTCAAGTCTTTTTTTAACATAAAATAAATTTTCTGGTGTTGAACAAGATGCAGTCCTTCAAGCACTGCTTCGACTTTTTCATGTTTAGATGTTTTCAACTTATCAASTCTGTGTGACGTGTTTACAAGTCTTATCTTGGCTGGGTTTAGTTACATGGAACCAAAACAAAATGAGAGTAAAGTTAGGGTTAAAGTTAGAAACTGTCTAACCCTAACCCTACCTGAACCCTACCTGAACCCTACCTGAACCCTACCCTAACCCTACCTGAACCCTACCTGAACCCTACCTGAACCC